TTGCCCAATATTGGTTAAAACACTTAAATGCTTAAATGGGTAATAATAGCCCAGAATAACGAATTTTTTTAACCAACCAACAATTACCCAACTAAATTTACCCAACATTTTAAGAGTGTACAATGTGAAAGTATGTGTGAAGTATTAAAAATTATTTGAAAACAAGCAAAGTTTTTTGTGACTAGCATAATTTACAGATATTTACACTTAAAATATATACATGTACAAATCATAAAGCTATTCCACATACATGTTCGATGGTGAGAATTTCTATACTTTCAGAGATCAGTAATCTTAAGGGAATCTCATTGACATCGCGAGATTTAAGATCTAATTTGGTAAAAACAGCCAATGAGACAATGAGAAAAACCCTTAATTTCACCTCGAATTATCAATATTATAACTCTTCGTGTAATTTTCTAAACCATAGCCTACAGAAAAGGTCGTCGTTAAAGGGATAGTTGATTTTTTTTTCAAACCGCAAATGCCTTCAAAGTGCATGGTTATTGCTCATAATCTTATTTATGACATTTCTAGTGCTCTTTTTAGGAACTAGAATTGCTTTGAAGGTAATTTTAGACCCCAAAATGTGTAAATTTATCCAATACGATCATACCAATTCAGTGCCACTTTTTTTTTAAAAGTGACCGATGATTAAATAGTTAGTCAATAACAACAATACACGGTTCGGCTGGTTACAACGCAAAAGCCAACATCGGCATTGGCTGAAATAAAACGTAAAAGGCGCTTTTTCGACCGCTGGTTAAAATAATCGAATATTTGTGGGGCACCACAAATATTCGATTTTTTGTTCAAATTTGGTTTTGTTGAAGAGATTCACTTCCCCATAAACACTTACACTTACCGGCGCACACTACACCATCCGAATGCGATCCGATTCTTGAAGAAATTACAATTATATTTGTTATGAGAATTTAAACGAAGAACGCTTTGCTGATCTAGATTGAAAATAATGATAAAATACTAACAATAATCAGTGCTTTTAAGCCCTCTAGTCAAAATTAATTCCGAATCGGCTTCAAGTCATAGGCAATCGTATTATTGGTATCAGTGACGTCACTAAGATTCTGAGCCGATTTAGCTTTTCCTCCGTCAAGGAAGCTTGAAATCCCCTAAAAGTGATATTTAAAAAAAATTTACATGAATACTCAGATTCTTGATCATTGAGATTTTACATATTAGTGTGTTCATAATAGGCGATGTCACACAGAAAAATCTCGACCCTTCTTGAATAAACCGGATTTTAGAAATCTAGTTTTTTCATTTACGTCGGTGACAGACTGGTGACAGACAGGCTACGAATAATCCGGATAACTAAAATCCGGATTTTTGACCTCTGTGTGACAGCGCCTTGTGTGACTCCGCCTATAGAATGCTACTGTAAATTCTTCCGAAATCGGTTCGCAGTTAGATCGTGTATAGAGTAAGCAGGAATCAGGAAGTAGAAATCTTTAAATGCTTACTAATTTCTTTAGCAAATATGAAATAATACAGTTGCAGTCATGGTGATTCTAATCCTAATATTGAAAAATATAAATAAACAGCCGATACAAGTACTATAAAGATTTGTATTCAACCATGTCATAAAGCCATCATACTACGAGGATACACGTAGAGTCTATGATTGTCAATTATCTATCCGATTTATTAACACATTTTAACTTCAATGTATACCTTTAACAGAAACAAGAACAACTGCATTAACAACAACAATGTCAATGGTGATGATGATAATATTAACAAAGACAATGATATTAATGATAACGATGATAATGATACTGATGACAGGGAATAAGACAATTATTATGATAATAGTATAATAGTAACAATATAAGTAGCGCGATTTACTACTACTACTACTACTACTACTACTACTACTACTACTACTACTACTACTACCACTACTACTATTTCTACTACTACTACTACTACTACTCTTAAAACTGCTGTTACTACTACTACCACTTTCATTACTGATAACCATTAAACGTTTCTTTAGATTCCGTCATGACCGATACTCGTTTGGGATCAAGTCATTCGTCCTTAGATTAATGGTAAGATTTGTTGTCAATTCATCCCGGAAGTAATATTGTCCTCTCACGTCCAGTGGGTATAGGCAGGGGCGGATCCAGCCGGTGGCGAGGGCGGGGGCCCAAGGGGGGGGGGGGGATTCGTGAGAAAATATTTAGCGGCGAATAAGCCGACGAATAACGGGGGGGGGGGGGGCTAATGAGCCCTATTTTGATTTATTTTCCTCCATTCGTGAGATAATATTTAGCGACAAATCAGCCGGCGAATAAGCGGGGGGGGGGGGGGGGGGGGTAAGGAGCACTTGATAATCGACGCAAATCAGATCTAACGTAGTATCCCCCGGTTGATCCCGATGCGAAACGCCCGCCGCATGAGTTATCTAGTAATAATTTATTGTTTATATTATTGTCTGTTTGGAGCTTGAAGAGCATTAACTTTGTGTATTAAAAATGATATGACTTAACACTTGTGTGGATAGCCAATCTCTCAACCTAAAGAAAGCAATATGCATTTCACTTTCATTTCAATCCTAGAAGTCAATTCAAAGCTTAATATTTTTGAGAGAAGTGCTTTCGAACGAAACCGAAATTAGCTAAAAGAGTGCTTTGTCATTTTGCGCTATATGAAAGTATTATAACTATCAGGAAATGCCGTATTTTAACATCCTTTTCCCTTTCCTGTCTAGTGCACCACTATGGGAAAGTCTACTCTGTGGCATGCCTTGGTTTCAAAGTACATCGATGGGACATCGGCATCATGGGGGGGGGGGGGGGTGGGTATCGGTCCTATGCCAACTCGGTGGATGAAATTCACATGAACGGGGGCGGGGGGGGGGGGCGTAGCAGGGTTCATATTGACTTATTTGCATGATCCCAGTCGCCACTCCTCTATATACGTCTCTCTCTCTTTCTCTTTGTCACTTTTCCCTTTTTGATTGGGAGAAGGTGAGATACCCCCGTGCACCCTCCTTTCGCTACACCACTTGGTTTTGTCAGTCGCTCCTGATCCTTGTGGCCTCATTCCAGTCATTACTAACAACAATAACAATAGTCTCAACTGAAACCTATCCATAACTATCGTGTGTTAACCCTAATAAGACCGGGGAGCATAATGCCCCCCCCCCTGTCAAATTGTTGCCGCTGCATCGAAACCCCTAAACCTTTGGCGCTAAAACTTCATGAGTTTTTTCCCTCATGTCTCCTGCATATTTTGATACCAAATTTGTTATGGGAGGACCTATGGTTCGGGTGTTAGGTGACAACATACCATCACGTGTCTATCAATTATGTAATTCTCACAAATGTGCTTGTGTAAGTATATTCCCCCCAAAATGTTGCATAATGTCATAAGAATATTAATACAAAATAAATAAATAAACATGAAAGAAAATAAACATAACCATCTTATTCAATATACTTCAATCTATCATCATGCTAATTTTCACATTAATGGGGCCTGCCTATGCCGAGATCTTAGGGGGGGGGCATAATGGCCCGGCCTTTTTAGGGTTAAGGACAATCTGTAATTATTTGCAGTTTGGCCGAAAGCAAACTCGACCGGTGGTGCTTAATTAGAGGGATATTTGAAGTGATAGAAAGTGGTACCAAAATTCTGAGAAAATTACATCAAGCAATTTAACTAAACCTGACTCGAGAATCTGATAGGCTTTGGTAATACAAAAACCACATTTCCATAATCAGCACATTTAAGATGGACTTAATCTTAGAACAGTAATCTTGTAGTCTATAAACGTCTAGTAAAGTGTATACATATAGCATTAAACACAAAATAAACACAAATAATCACAATTTTTCGTAATAGTATATTACATTCTGATTACGTTTAAACCCCGTTTAAGTGGATTGAGAATGCAAGCGACAAAATAATTTTGTTTCAATCTTTGAGATTCATAATAAAACGTGATTATCAAGTCCAATTAATTAAAATACCAATTATGTTGCACATGAGTTTATATGACAGTAGACTAAGCACTGTTACGAGGGTATAATTTGCCAGCGAAATTACCAAATTCTATATCTAACATAATATACGAAAAACAGGAGAGAAAAGATTGGTTCAAAGCTTTAACTAAAGTTTGTTTCTCTCTCTCCTTAAAGAGAAGATTGAGTTCTGGGAAGAGGTGAAATATAATTTGTGAGCGTTGTCATTGTTATTATGCAAGTGTGGAAGAACATCAGATAAAACATGTTCCCTGAAAAGCGTGGCTCTTCAAATGCTTTAATATTCTGAACAAAACATGTAACATCATACAATACGGGACGGATTTTTATGTCACATGTTCGTGTAGTCCCATGTACATCTTTCTGTGTATAGTGATTGTAACTTGACCAAGACTGGGCCAAATTTCTTATCATTTACATGATTGATGAACCTTGTAGTACACACCAATACATATATGCTAAATGATCAACCTTTTCTGATCGATTCCACACTAGCTGTCTCTTTCATAATGCAGTCACATGACCAGAACTCAACTTTATCTTTAACTGTGAGTGGGCCTTAGGGGTTCTAGGACACCTATCCCATGAACATCCTCCCTCGGATAACCACCCCAGTCAACTACCCCAAGGACAACTACCCCCTAGGGCAACCACCCTCTAGGACAACTACTCCCAGACAACTACCCCCGGACAACTATCCCCCGGACAACTACCCCTAGACAACTACCCCCTACGTCAACCATCCTTTAGGACAACTACCCCCGGACAACTATCCCCCGGACAACTACCCCCAGACAACTACCACCTACGACAACCACCCTCTAGGACAACTACCTCGGGCAACTATCCTAGGGGGTAGTTTTTTTGGGTTGTTTTCTGGGGGTAGTTGTCCTACGGGGGTAGTTGTCTGTGGTACTTGTCCGGGGTAGTTGTCCTTCGGGATAGTCGTCCTAGAGGGTGGTTGCCTTAGGGGGTAGTTGTCCTAGGAGGTAGTGGACTGGGGGTGGTTATCTGGGGGTGAGATGTCCAGGGCGTAGGTGTCCGGATGCGGGCCTTAGGATTGTGATGGCCTACTCGTTTGGGAGCAAATCATTTGTCCTTAGATTAATGGTCAGCTTTTTGGTAAATTCAGCCCAGAAATATTCTTGTCCTCTCAAGTTCTCAGTCCAGTAGATGTAGGGTCTGCCATCACTGAGATACAACTTCGCCAAAAATGGCATTTCATCATCTGGGATGTCTTCGAGGAAAACCACGACTACGAATTCCGTCAGAGTGTCACTCACGTGGTCCATGGCCGTACGGAACTTGAGTATGAACCAGTGGTCGTGCACAGCAGCTCTGCTAAGCACTATAATGGTCTTGTAACTATGGCTCACCACGTAATCGACGGAATCTAAGTAATGCATACCTAACACAAGGTCTCCGTCACCAAAGACGTTTCTCTGAAACTGTGGAAGCCGTTCTTCGAAAGCCGGTCGGAGCTGTCCGCGAATCCATTCTTCGTCATCGTCGTAGAAAATGATGTTCACATCAAACTCGTAGTCATGGTGGTCTCGAGCGTCTCGCATCTCTGTATAGCCCAGTACGGCCAGTTTCAAAAGAAATAGTTTGTACCTCAACTGCCATCGGTAGTGATACACCAGCACGCTGATAACAACCAAGCTAATGGAAGCGAGGGGAATCAGAGAGAATATACCATATTTCATTATACAGAGTTTATTTGGATCAAAATCAAGCAGGGGTTTCTCACGAAGAGCCTCCAGAGATGCTGACGAACAGATAGTTTGGTCCTTGTTTTCCAGGTGTATAGGTTCATTTAACCAATCAATTAGCCACTGTAGATCACAGTTACAATCAATTGGGTTCATTGATAGATTAAGTGATAAAATGGAGGAAAATATCGGCTTGAAAGTACTTTGACTAAGGCGCGTTAATCTGTTGTTGGCCAAAGAAAGATTTGTGAGTTTCCAGTTATTTGAGAACATTAGCTCCTCCAAGAAATTGATACGGTTTCCATCAAAGCTGATACTTTTTATTTGACCCAACCCCGATAATACATCATCATGAATATGCTGTATGTTGTTTCCGTTCAAACTCAACTTCTGAAGCGATTCCAACCCAGAGAAAACAAAAGGATGTAGATTTGTAATTTTGCAGTAGTCTAGATTTAGCTCTTGTGCAACAGAGAGTTGCTGGAATATCCCTGACTGTAAAATCGGGAAATAGTTAGAACTCAAGTCCAAATGTTTAAGATTAAATAATCCATCGAAAAGAGACGCGTTAGCAGTTGCATTCAATATGTCATACAGGACAAGCTTAGAGGCTATCATGTCTAAATTATGAAGGGATTGCAAATATTGAAACAATATTCCTGGTCGAAAACTATGAAGGCCTGAACCAAGAGAGTTTAGGGAAAGTGATCTTAATAATGGGGCGTATAATTCCATGACAAGTATATTACTTCCGTTCAAATAAATGGTTTGAATATTGTCAAGTCCCGAAAAGGCCGTCAGCTCAAAGGAATAAAGGTGTATGTTCGAGCTCATGTCTAAGAAAGTTAAATTTCCTAAACCGCGAAATACAGCTGCAGATATTTTTGTAAACAGATTACCGGATAAGTTAAACTCCGATAAGTCCACTGTCCAAGTCTGATTGTTAGGATTTATTTGTCTTACTCGGTTGTTGTTGATTGCAAGTACCTTTAATGCATTCATGCCCTCGAAAAAGTCTGGTTGAATTTCGCCTATGGGGAGTTCGTTAAAACTAAAACTGAATTGTTTGAGTTTTGTCAAATTTGAGAAGACTAAAGGATAGAGGTTTTTCAGTTCGTTCCTGTTGAAGTCCAGAACAGAGAGAGAAGAATCGCGCAGTGGATCAAAGAAACCTTTAGGAAATGCACCAACAGAAGAATAGATGATTGTAAGCTGTTCGATGTCTGATTTTGAGATTCCGAGTATGATTTTCGCTAACACCTCGTAACTCAAAGGGAAGCCACGCAGCACCAAAGAGCGAACATGTAGTGATGCGATCACATCAGGGTCTACAGATTGGATATAGTTGTATGCAAGATTTAGAGTATCAGTGTGGCACCCAAAGGTAAAATCTCTCGCCGTAAGGTGTCGTAGTTGATTTCCAGTCATGTCTACAGTGCCGACCATGCCACAAGAACTTACATTGATGAAGGAGAGCCGGTTGTAGGACAGATCTGCATAATTTAGATATGGAATCCATTCTAGAGTGTCATTTGGGAGCGACTTCAAGTTTGAATATCTTAAATCGAGAATGGAAAGCTGTGGAGACATCACGAAGACGCCTGTTGTTGGAAACACAAGACGCCGGTTATAGGATAGATCCAGGTACATTAAGCCCTTGAGGGGATAAAAAGCGGCGACTTCTATCACTCTTATATCGTTATGGGAAATGTCCAAGGAGTTAATTAGAGGGTATACTTCAAACGAAGAGTTCAAGAGTTTGGTAATATTGTTCGAAGACAACCTAAGCAACTCGATATCCTCAGAAAGATTCTGGGGAACCGTGTTCAGGCCTCTATAGCTGCAAAAAGCTCTTTTCAGTTCAAGGTTCTGATCGCATGCACGGAAAGATTTGTCCATGTCCAGTGTTATGGATGACATCGCCGAATCTCCATCGTGTCGATGTAAAGATTGAAAGGACGAGCTGACGAGGAGACAAGCGACGAGCAATGGGTACAAGATTGAGCCGTTCGCCATCACGTCAATATACATGTACATGTATCAACTCTGAAAAATGAAAGTCAAACCTTTGTCGGATGAAAATATATCGCTCTTGATTATATGCCTATACAAGCTCATATGAGATATTCTAAAGTTTACGTATTAAGCATCACTAGCGGAAAGTTAACATCAACATTAAACTTCCGTGCGCTTGTACAGTGCGTCCCAGAAAAAACGAAGCCGAGAATTATCGATGTTTAATCATAACTTTATCACAATGATAACTAATGAATTACACATATTTGTAAAGCTTAGATCCTCCTCTTTCATTTGATGCAACTCAGGGCAGAAAATTAACTTTTTAAAAATATGATTTTCTCTCTAAAATTCAGATACTGCCCGCCAAATGACATTTTGGTTTCCTCTCTTTATTTGTTATTAATCACTCATGCGTGAAATATGCATCATATGAGTTGCATCAAATGAAAGAGGAAGACCTAAGCTTTACAAATATGTGTTATTTATTAATTATAATTGTGATTAAGTTATGATAAAACATCGATAATTCTCGGTTTCGTTTTTTCCGGGACGCACTGTATAATAGGCCTAATAGTCTACTCACAAGTCGCAAATTCCTTCGTAATTTCGACAATTAGAACCTGAAACTCTTTATACAGAAATGGTACAGAAACATCAATATCATTACACGCTCTTCCTGTTTCCTGTTCTCGTGAAGTGATGTATTGAGATACCACGTGTCAACAAGTCGCGAATAATAATTAATAGGATTATTACAATTAATATGATAGAAAGTACAACATTTCCGAAGTAGGCGTTCTCGTCTTACGCTCGTATGACCATGGACCTATTACGGATGGACACTCATCGTTTTCTTAACGACTTCATTGTGATTGTCTCCGTCAATGTCATCTCAATAACATTCCATACATGTATCGTCACTTTGATCTCATGATGGTCACCGCCAAAAAGCCGGGACAGAATCAAGATAGTGATTTTACACATGTTAATCTACATGCGCAGAAGATAATAACTTGCCTAAATCATGGAAAATCGATGTGCAGTTCTGACTTATAATCGGAAATTGTTGTTCCGTGTACTGTACATGTATTTTATTTTGAAAAACATGTTGATATTACCAGATAGAGGTTATTTTTGGATTTTTGGGTTGTGATTTAAAATCCCGTTTCCCCCTATTTCCTCATAATATTCCAGAGTTACAAAGCACAGGGCTTATAAAGATCATGGCCTTCTAACTGTTTTATAAGGTCATGGGTGTGTGCGAAAGTGTGCGAATCAGTAATAATACATTTCATATCACCAAAATCGTCTGCTTTTCAACTTTGCTGCTCCCCATTGGGGATGCTTTCATTTAAGACACACTCTTACAGAGCACACCATCCAAACAAAACCCAAGAGAGGGAAACTGCTCCTTTGTCAATGACCAAAAATGCTTACGCAGTCGTTATTGTTAAAACAGCTGAATGTTCTCATTAAGATGCACATAATCAGAAGGCGGCGACTATCATTGGTATCATTGGATGAAAGAAAGAATCACGTTGAATGTCCATCCGTAATAGGTCCATGGTATGACCTACCTGATCATGCCGATGAATGGAAAGATATGAAGTTGCGATATGGAGAGGAATTATCCCAAAATACTCTGGGATAAGTATCTATTTCCATCAACCCCCCCCCCCCCCCAAAAAAAAAAAAAAAAAAAAAAAAAATCAAAAAATCAGACTTTATTTATAGCAAATAGTTAACGCAGCAATTACATAAATAACAGGAAATCATAACGCAAGAATTCCCTTCATATTAATTTCAAAAGTTCGCCCATTTCGTGAACGATAAATGTACATTATCATAGACTTGTATAGTATATACTAGTAGTGCCCTCATATGAAAAGCTGCTACGATACTGTTACGATACAACTCTAAAAACTGTTACACAAGTTATCCTGCCTATGCAAATTATTGAGCTGCCAAAAAAGAAGTTTGATTGAGTTATATTCATCACAGAAAGTAATCATACAATTAATGTAAAACATCATAATGACAGAGCTGAGACTTAATCAGAAGGTTTCTAATGGTCGAGGAAGAAATGACGTCATCTTGAAAATTAGAATTGTAAAAGGATTACTCTGCCCAACGAGTACATGCTTGGTAGCTAACACATGCGTTCTCAGCTTGCAGTAGTGCTCCGTGTGATCATGGATCAAGCGTCTTCTCTTAAGCTACATACGACGAGGGACGTGCTCTGATTGGTTACTGTCTTAATGATCACGTGGTTAAGCTGGCACCAAGGATAGGCGAGCTACGATACGCCGTGGTTTATAATGTTAGGTGTAAAGTCATTCACAGACTAAGATTCGGTGTGAGAGCCGAATGACGAAGAAGGATATTAATAGGTACAGCCTACAATGTAAAAAAATAATAGTCGAAATAACTCAATCAAATTGAGGAAAAGAATTGCCTTATTTTTATTAAGTAAATATTACCTACGGCATCTTAAGTAGAATTTTCTTATTTTGCTGAATAAATTTTTACTCAGTTAAATCGAGTTACATTAACGTAAATAATTTAAGTATTGTAATCATTTTAGATAATTAAAAAAAAGCTATGATAGGATTACATATTGCACGATTTGGTACCCATCTAATCTAACAAGTAACATCCACTAATCATTCACTACTTCTATTTAAGATTAATCACTAATCACTTACACTCGACACATATTGAAAGGCTCCAAATTTGATATATACCTGATCGTAGCATCTTAAAAGGAAAATTGGTTGACAATTTCCTGAAATATCAAGTTTTGATTTGTTTTGAACTGGGTAACAATTAAAAATTGTCTTGTCTTTGCTTAGCCATGTTAAATGAATTAGTAAATGTTTTAAAGTCCTTAAATTTTCATTCAACCACAAAAAAGAATTGTTTTATTTAAAAAAGAGTTTAATTTGGTCTTAATGAATATTCATAAATTATGTAAATATTTCTATTACGCACTGCATCGGTCCTTACTTTAAACAGATAAGAATAATCAACATAAATTGTTTGAGTAATACGTATAATTTCTGATTTTGAGTTAAAATTACTAAATTAATACAAGCTGAAATTACTTAAAGTTCTTATGTATTTGATTTTTACTTAAATATTCCACGTATGTTCTACTAAATTGAAAGTTTGAGTTAGCAAGACTTAAATTAAGTGCGTAAGTGGCAAAACTAATGTTTTCAAGTAAATTCTACATGGAAAAAATACGTAAAAATTACCAATTACCAAATTATTTTTTACAGTGTATAGAAAATGCATCCCACGAAAACTCAAGGCGCCTATGAATTACATGTACTGATATAATTGTATTATATTGAATTGCATTGTATTGTATTGTAATGATAATGATGGCAATAATAATAAGTATACAAATAATGATAGTAATAATGATATAAATAAAGATATCAAGAATAATGATAGCAGATTAGATTTGTAAGGCGTCATTTTTTTATTGTGTTGTATTGTATTGTACATTGTATTAGATTGGATTAGTTCATTGATATAAAAATCATATCAAATGCAGCTAAAAGTATCATCATACGCATCATTATCGTCGTCATCATCATCTTCATCATCATCAACCTCACCATCATCCTCATCTTAGCAGTTATAACCATCACTTCATTAATCATCATCATCATTCTTTTAATTATCATCATATTCTGTATCAGTACTATCATTACTTTCATCTTATCATCATTATCATCATCATCATCATCATCATTATGCAGTTTTCTAACTGTTTTTGTAAAGGTATTTGCCAACCCTATTTATTACTGTCGGACAAAATTGGTTTCTTATCTGTCTGCGTGTAATGTTAATGAAAGATTTTTGTTCAGTTTTTAAATTTGTCTCAAGTTTAGAGAAATTACAAATATGAAGAAAAACAAAACCACACAACGAATACATTTGTTTATGCACTTCGAAAGACATACGCAGCAAGAGTTGTTGTACATTTAACGAAAGCAGGTCTAACATACGCCTTCAATTTTCTATTCATTAGAGGATGTGCATACTGTATGTACCATTAATGTAGATTGAAAATTTGTTTCAGGATTATGTCACTGAGAGCCTTTTCTACTCTGTAAAATGTACAGTTGAGAAATACACCCCTTATTGGAGTCATTTGTATGGATCACTCCGTTTTAGATTCGGAATAAAAAGAGCAAGTCCAATCGCTACTCTTGAGTGAATTCCACATAATTTTGTATAATGATCTTGACATTGAATTACACTATAGAAACTTCATTTGTCGAGACATACTTTAACCTGTTAACAACTGAATTATTTCATTCTCATACAAAGACTCATAGGCTTTGTACAGGGACTACCCGGTTTCAGTAGGCAAAGGGTTAAATCAATGTCGGCACATACATGTAACTCTACCGTGTGAGTCAAAAAAAAGTTTACACCTAGAAATTTGCTTATTATTTTCAAAATCATTTATGAACAGTGAAAATTATTATACATCTTATGAAAGAGTGTTTTATCCCAAATCATTTGGTATCATTTGTGTGTGGTATGTGTTCACGCTTCGATGAACAGGAGGCATGTTTGCTAGAGTGCAAAAATCGACTTGCGCCAAAGTGATGCCTACAGTATGTATTATGTTGGGATTAGCGGAGTGAGAGAATGAATTGAATGTATCAAATGAAATGCATTGCATATACACCGACACACACGCGCGCACAAAATGTTCGTTGATATTTGATATTCGATATTTGATATGTGTGGCATGATTAATTTTGTTTATAATGTTATTTGTATCTGCAAAGACCGAATTAATACCGAAATCCCAATTGTTTATTCAAACATCACATAAGCAACTTTGGCGCAAGTCGATTTTTGCACTCTCGCAAACAATGCCTGCTGTTCATCCAACACGTGACAGTTGATAGCGAACAATGGTATAGTGACAATAATTATTATCATAACAGAGTGCATTTGGAAACCCTGCAATTATATTCATAACGATCGCAAAGGCTTTCAAGAAACCAACTCAAGGC